AGCAGTCAACTGAAGTGGCCTGCAGTACTGCACCCTAACCACTGCACCACCTCGGCTCCTCGACCCAACCCCCTCCCCCTGGTAACCCCATCCTTAGTCCAATTTGCAAATCCCTTAGGTGTCACGTGAGTTCCATCTTCAAAAAGCATCATCAGGTTGGTATGCAGGACAGTTGGCCTTGGCGGCCCCAATCACTATCTCCAGCATGCGCAGTAGATGGTGAGAACAAAACTCCCTTTTCACAATCTCTCCTGTCCTTAAAACTTCCCTTCCCAAATACCACCTCCCCGTTTCAATGGCAGCCGAAAGCAAGTAGCAAAACAGAGGCTGACATTAGATACCGTAACACGTCGAAACCTTTGTTGGTATGCGAGATTATATCACATTGGTATATTCTGTTTTCCCAGAAATAAGACCTCCCCAGATAATAAGTCCAATCGGGCTTTTGAGCGCATGCGCTAAAATAAGCCCTCCCTTGAAAATAAGCCTTTCCTGAAAATATTGCAACACAGCAACAGCCATGAAGTGACCACACTCGCCGCCTCCTGCACCTCAAAAATAATAAGACTTCCCCAAAAATAAGGCCAAGTGCTTATTTTGGGGGGTCCAAAGAAAATAAGACCCTGTCTTATTTTCGGGGAAACATGGTAGTATCACATTTTTAACATAATAGCAATAGCACATAGACTTATATACCACTTCACAGTGCTTTACAGTCCTCTCTCAGTGGTTTACAAAGTAAGCGTATTGCCCCCCCAACAATCTGGATCCTCATTTTACTGACCTCAGAGAGATGGAAGGCTGAGTCAATCTTGAGCTGGTCAGGATCGAACTGCCAAACTGAACTCAGTTGGCAGTTTTCAGAAGTAGCTTGTAGTACTGCATTCTAACCACTGCGCCACCAGGGCTCATAATAACAATAGTAAGAAAACTAGCATTCACCCAGGCCACTCATGGGAGGTGGTATTCAGCCAATTCTGACAGGTTCTGGAGAACTGGTAGCAGAAATTTTGAGTAGTTTGTAGAACGGGCAAATAGGCTGGCCACGCCCCTGCTACCTCCCAGCCTCCTAGCTGATCTTCTTTTGTTGCCCTGAACAGGAGAACAGAGCTGGAAAGCAGGTTAGTGGTGTGGGAAGGGAATGGGGGATTTTGCAATAACCTTCCCTCAGGAGTGGGAGGAAATGGGGATTTTGCAGTATCCTTCCCCTGCCATGCCCACAAAGCCACGCCCAAAGAACCGGTACGGGGAAAAAAATGAATCCCACCACTGACACCCATCCTCAGGTGTTTAAAAGATGTAGTAATCTACTTTTGTATCTTAGGGTCTGGCTCCGCTTCCAAAATGTTCAATAGCCATTGAAAAGAAAGAGAACACTCTCGGCCCTTATTTATTCATATTTACCTTGTGATAAGATGGGCGGTCAATAAATTTAATAAATAAATATTTTGTATTTCTTAACTGCCCATGTTCCTCAAAGAAAGATCCAGCAATCCTCTCAGGCTTTTCCTGTCAGCGTTCCAAATATCAAGCAGAATTAAATCAGAGTCCAAGGCAGAGTTATCCTTAAAAGTTCCTATTTAATAAAACAGACATGTTGGCATCGAGCTACGGAATCCCAATTCTGAAACTTCCTGGGATTCCACCCAGTTTAAAGTTCAAGATCTTGTCCCCACACCCACAAATCCATCACATGGTCCAATCCTCTTCTTCCTCACTAGGACTCCACCCAGCTGGTTCCGGTCAGATGCCAAGATGCAGAGACAAAGAATAACCTTGAGCTTCTAGAAAGGAATTTCTTATTTTGAAAACAACACATTCTACCCCTTGCTATTTCCCCCTCTAATGAGAGTGTGGCAGGCCAAAGATTCTTAAAGGAAGTGCTGCAGGCCTGACATTTCTTATCCCAACTGATCCTTCCACCCAGCCTCCCTGCAAATCCACTTATCTTAACCACACCCTTTCTTGCTAATGTTGTGTTGGCATTTCTGTAATGATATGAGCCCAAGAATCAGGATCTAATGGATTTTCTAACTGTTCCAGCCTTCCTTCTGTCTTAATATTAGGTTGAGACTGAACAGCTGCATTCACAAAATAAACAGTGCCCTTGGCATCCCCAGAAGTAAGAGAGTCACTTCCCTCTTTACTTGCCTAGTATATACTCTGATTCGTGGTCTCGTTTCTGAAATCAATATGCTGGGAAGTGCTTACAGAGTAGGAGACCTAAAATATGTGAACCTGACTCTCCTTCTAATGGCCAGTTCTTTTCCCCTTTTACATTCCTACCACTTATGGGTCACATTGAGTCTGAGACAATCCCAAGGCTTCCACCAGTCGGGTTTTCTGTACCACCAACCATCGGATTGACCGATTCAATACAGACAAAACTATGGAAACTTGGACAGTGTGTTGGGTTTTTGTATCTCCCTTTGATGGCTAGGGGAAAGTTTTGTTTTTCAAAAGGAAAGCTTGCAAATAAAAAGGAACCGTAAATTCTAAGTGTCTTCAGAAATTCATCTATATTAACTATTTTCTACAAGCTGTTTAGCTACAGTACATTCTTTAAAGTCCAGTTTTAGACTTAGAATAACTTTATGGTCACTTTGAAGGTACACTAATCGGCATACATTAAAATGAAATTTTGTTGCATAAAGCTCTCAGAGGATCTCCCCCTCTAATATACTCTACATAAACATGACAAGATAAATAAATAAATACAGGTACAGACAGAATTATGCATATACCCACATATATAACAGAGAGAAACAACACAATAGTTTGGATGTGTATATGTACATGGCGAGAAAAACGAAGCTTGTGAGTTTACCAGAAGGATGGCATAAGGAACAAAGCAGAATGTGGTACTCCTGCTAGAAAAAACTTTGAAACCTCCTCCCAGAAGGGAGCAACAGAAACAGACCATCAATGGGGTGTGGGGTCTCTAACAATCTTATAGTTTCACTATAATCTTACATCTTGCTATTCTGTATCTTTGATATATTTGTTTATTGCTGACACCTCTATTTCTCTGAGTAGGTTCTGACCAGTTCTGGAGAACCGGTAGCGGAAATTTTGAGTAGTTCGGAGAACCGATAAATACAACCTCTGCCTGGTCCTGATCCCATCTATTCTCTGCCTCCCGAGTCCCAGCTGATCGGGAGGAAATGAGGATTTTGCAGTAACCTTCCCCTGGTGTGGGGAGGTGTTGTGGCCCAACAGGAGCTGTTGGAGCTGGCGATGGACTCCGATAGAGAGGAACCCTATGAGTCTGCTATGGAAGATGTGGAGGACCCTGGGAGAGACCGCCTTCTGCCAATTACCTCCCTGCGTCCCATCAGGTCGCACAGGGTAGGCCTCCTCCGAATTCCATCCGCCAGTCAGTGCCGACTGG